TTACAACCTCCTTCTCCCTTCCAAAAAACTGCTAATGACAGTAGTGTCACTAGGAATGTGGGTCACCATCTTCTTCAAGGTTTTCAAGTTGACATACTCTGTTATCTCTCTACTTGTGACTTTAATTGTATGTTTCTTGTCATATCCGACCTAACTGTATCTTATATCTGCATTTCATTACATCTTCTCCCTTCCCTATTGATTGTGTCTCGTGGAGTAATTTAACTCAATTCCAATTTTCCTTTGCAGGCGGGGTGCTCTCCATCCATGGAAGTGAGTTATGGGTGTTCAAGTGGTGCATCTTATGAATCTTGTTAAGCTTTGCTGCCATATAACCCCACTGATGGAATATTTAATCACAGAAATGAGTTGGCAGATATGATATACAACGTGGGTGAGCTTTGCAGTGTGTATCTTACTTGCAATTGGGAAACAGATAAATCTGCCACGTGTCAGTACCATGCCGACAACTTTGTATAACCTTCTGTTATTTATTTTTATTTTGCTTCACTTATTTATGAAGACTAAAGGTCCTTTAAATCAACAGTTTCATTGGCTAGACATTGTGATTATCTCTAAGCGACACTAGTTTTTTTTCTTTTAAAAAAAAATATATATATGTATAGTTTTTTTTCATTAGAGAACAAGGGAATTTGTGCCAATGACAGGAGAAATCTAAGAATCCCCTTTGAAGCCTCTTCCTCCAGATTCCTGGAAATGCTATTTTTAATTACACTAAATGACTCAAGGCATGCTCCTGGTCCCGGATATTCATAGATATTCTACTTCTATTTAGTGCCTTCAATTTTATTTAAAGCCTAAAAGGAAATGAGTATAGACACTGGCCCCTGCCTTCAAAACCTACCTGGCCTTTTTTTTTTATTGACTTATCAATCATTTGTCTTAAGAATAAGCCTCAAGGAGTATGAAGATGATTAGGCTTAGGAAAAATAATCAATGCTGTTTAGCTTTATAGAAAAACGCTTGTCTCTCTTTGCAGAAAATTTATATATGTTCATGGGATATGCTGATTTATGTATATCTGCTCTGGAGACCTGTACTGGATAAGCATTTAAAAGGATTCTTACAAGTATGACTTGATAAGAATTAAAAAAACAACAACAAAACATCCAAACGAAGACCTTGTATAAGAGCTTTCTAAGTGCTTCTCTCAGCATGTGTGTATGTGAGGGAGGGAGAATGTCATAATTTATCAAAGCAAATTAATACTGTTCAGCTAGTAATTAAAGGTCCTCATTAAGAGGTGCAATGGCTCTCCCCACCCCCACCCTGCGTTAGCAATAAAAATGCACTCGGGGCGTCCAAAGGTTATATACGGAAATCAATAACTTGCCATTTTATAATTAAAAGAGAAAATAAATGTTAGGGAAAAGTCCACTAAATTAGGAAAATTACCTTTAGGAGAGATTGAAAATATTGATTTTAATTTACAAAATATGTGAACTTTTCATGCCCCATTCTGAGAGACAATTGGAGGCTGGGTAGTTAATTCTGCATAAGCTTCAGAAAATCAATAATTATACTATGGGGATATTATGAAATGTGTCATTAGCACAAAATCTTATATGTAGAAGTGACTGATAAGTCTGGCTTTCTCTGTTAAGCAGACACGAGGCTGGCCTGCTAAATTCCCAACGCTAATCCATGCCAAGGTCTTCATTTCAGCTTCGAGGCACTCTCAAAATCGCAAGATACATCCACTTTATTTTTATAGCTGGGGAAATTTTAAAAGCCTCATAAATTCTTAGTTATGGATATGTAGATGGATGATACTAATAATTATACCTGGATATGGAAATTAATGCATTCTATTTCTATATCTTTGCATACAACCATTTCACAGACAGGTGCCTAAAACTTTAGGTTTAAGCCAGGTGTTTCTGAATATTTCAAAGGAATCATTTTGGAGTGTGGAAACTGCAGCCATACTTCCCCACAGCTCTGAATATCATGAACTCTGTCTACCCACATACGCAAATACACAGGTGAAAGGAGAAAACGTCTAGTTATTTGGGACAATCCACATATTGGCCACACAAAACATAGATATGTAGATTTCTCAAGTAACATTTACTTTCCCATGCCCTGTTTTCTTAGACTTAAGTTTACTAGAACAGCTCATAGAAATGATTCTTCTGTTGTTGTTGTTCGAGCTCCTCAAAGCTTCCTCTTACAGAGCCAACTAACATCCATGAATATGGTGGCTGGAATACCCAAAGTGATTACTTCTCTTCTTTAATTTGACTGGTTACGACATGGAGAAGTAGCATGATTCTAGGGGCCTAGTTGATAGGAATTATGGCTTTACTATTTATTTTTAAAAATAAACAAACATATATTGCCTTTGCCCCACCCAAGTACAAATGCAAAAATAAATAAACAAACAGTATAAACTGCCTGTAAAGAACACAAGCTCTGGAATGATCAAAGCCTGTTGCCAAAATCTGACCTGCTCCTGGCTGTGAGATTCTAGACCAGCAATACAAATATTTTACACTTTGATTTCCTCATGTGGAACACACTGCCATGAGGATGAAATACATTAATTCATGAAGAGCTTAGACCAGTGTCTTGCCCATAGAACATATCCAGTAAACACTAAGTGTTGTTATAACTTACCCTCTTGCTATAACCTAACGATCTAACTTCTGAGGCTGCGCCCTGGGCTAATCTGAATGGCTGCTCTGATGCTCTAAAAGTCATGCAGATTAATTTATTCCTGTGTGTATAAATCCATCTGAACCATTTCCCCTGTCGTCATGTCCTCTTAGACGCCCACACAGGAGCATGTGGCTTTGAAAAGCACATTGAAGGAGATGTTTGGTGTTTCCCTGGCAGGGAGAGCCAAGATGCCCAGCAAGTACAGGACCAGAAAAATGCATGTTCCTCTCTCTACCACAATCCATACATCTACACTCTACCTCCCCACACGAAGACTTCTTGCGTCTTGTTCCCATTATTTTGGGGAGAAAGCATGCACACGCACAGATAACCTGCCACTTCTGTGGTCTGGGACTCCATTTCATAGGCAGTGCCTGCAGGGCTGTGGGGGCTGCCACCTGGCTTTTCTCTCTCGCCATTTGGGGGATTTCATTTCCTTGCAGTTTTTCACAAGAATGTTCCCCAGCAGAACCTTCTTAGTCCCATGTGCCCCCGAACAGACTGCCATACCCCCGATCCCAGCATTTAACTTCCCACTAAATGGACATGCTGAGAACAAAAGGACCAGTCCTCTCGTGATTGAAGAAAAGCATCTCCCAGTCTAACATTATAGTATGCTCACAATTCAGCGGAATCAGTTCTCAGCTCATTTTTCTTTCACGGCAGAGAGGTGAACCATTAACTTATTTGTTTTTATTTACCAAATGTTTACATGGTGCTGGCTAGGCACCACACACTCTTCATATATTAACCCATTGAATTCTAACAAAAACCTTTGATTTTGTTAGTATCATCAGCCCCATTTAACAAATGAAGAAACTGAGGCACAGAGAGGTTAAGTAACTTGCCCAGAGTCACACTGCTGGTGAGTAGGGGAAGCCAGGATTTGAACCTGGGCTGTCAGGGTACAGCTTCCATGTTCCTCACTCTGTTGTGTGTCCTTTCAGGATATGGGATATCTATAATATAATGATGGAGGGCCTTATTGCTAAGTCTCTCCACCCCCTTGAGAGTCAACGCAGTTATTCTGCAGGGGTAGAACCCCTGGACTTAACCCAGGCTCCTGATTAAACTCACATGTGAGGAACAACTGCAAGCATTGCCTGCTGGATACCCAGCACTCAGCTATCACAATGTGCCTTCCCAGATTTATCAAATTTCAAATATTTTTATCAAGATTAAAATTTGGTTACTGTACTACAGTAGCTAAGTTTCCTGTGTTCCTTTCTCATTGACTAGGGTTGGTACTCAATATCTTTCTCATCTACTAGGGTTGATACTTAGTATCTTTCTCAGCTACCAGGGTTGATACATAGTATCTTTCTCATCTACTATGGTTGATACATAGTATGTTTCTCATCCACTATGGTTGATACTTAGTATCAGGAAAATGAGAAAAGTCAGACATCCTAAGAAGAAAGCAACCAAGGGATGTGACTTAGCAGCAGGGGGTCACTAAGTGAGTGGCTCTACATCAACTGGTTATTTATTTAAAGCAAGAGCCACATCTAAAGAATGACTCCTTTTCTATAACCATGTGGCAAATCTACTGCTAAGGTTCTAAGTGTTCAATGAAGCCTTGGTAATGAGAGCAAGGAGACACAGGCAGTAGTGACAGGCCAAGCCCAGCATGTCAAAATGTGCAATCCTGTTACTGTCGCTTCTGGATCACATTCTCCCAAAATTTGTTAACTGGGTTTTTCTAAGAGTGGATTTCGCAGTTGAGGGGTCATTGGAGCTTAGGCAGGGAAGGGTGAGGAAAGAGACATATCCCTGAAGGCAAAGTAGAGAGAAATGGGATTGCTAAGGGAAATTAATTAATGGAGAACGAAAGACAACTTAATATTTTTTTAGTTTTCTAAATAGGCCTTCTTTTGGCAATTCCGAATCACTGCCACATTAATGCAAAATAATTAAGGCAACTCTCTGCTTTGCCATGAAAAAGAAAACGCAACCCCAAATGGAAATGTATGGCTAAAAGACACATCCAGGCACACTGAAATAAAATGGGCGTGAACAGCTCTCCATTTGTTCAATAGGCTATTGAACAAAGTCTCAATGCTTTTTTCAGGCAAAATCAATGTGAAGTGTCACAGGGGTGGTGGCTCCGCGCGTACCCCACGCTGTAAATGACAGGATTCCCCTTTAATTTTTAAAGTGTTTTAAACACTCTTGGTTTTGCCCAAAGAAATCATTCAGAACTTGTTAGGATAGGAATTCACTTGGTTCAGATTATTTTACAAAACCCATCATTTCTTGGCAGGCAAAGCACATTTAGGAAAGACCGAAAAGACGCCGTGCAAAGAGAAACTGGTTACCTGCATAGAATTCAGGACTGTAGACTGCACCCACAACTGGATTCAATTTCCAGCCTTAAAATAAATACACAAAAACATTATTATCACGTTTGATTCAACAACTTATATCACTGAAAACTAACTGCAAATAAAATGGGCTATTTTCTGTGGCTTTTTTTTTTCATTTTCAAATGTATAGTACATGCAGTATGGGTGTGCATAAAAATGTTTGAAAACACCACATAAAAATGGATTTATGCCCTTCTTTGATTTTTTTGCCAAAGCAAGTTAACGAAATGGAAACTACTGACCAGCTACAGGTGAAAAGATGTGGTAATTAATTTTCTACCATATGAATATAGTTTAGAGCCATTATAATAATTTCCATTTTTATCTTATTTCATATATCACTGCTAAATGACCCATCATGTCCCTTTGCATTAAGTTCACAAACACTTGAAAGCTTGCATAAACAAAAATTTTTGCAGCAAACATACCCTGAAAATCATCATTCCTAATTATGACCCTGAAATACTAGAGAATTCCAAAGTGCTTTTTGAATACCAAAGAAAATTATCTCTTATCCCCTAGAGATTTTATGTGGAATACATTTTAATATATTCAAGAACCATAGAAATTCTTAATCAATGCATGATATCTAAGGTAACTTTCAAATAACCTGCATATAAGATTAGTAGAATCCTGTAATTTTCCAAATGTTCTGGATGGAGAGTTTTCTGTAAAATGAGTCCTGGCCCTTCAGAAATTTTTACTCCGAAAAAGAGCATACAAGAAATTCACAAATCAGGAAGCACGTCACAGATGGGCATTATCTAGGGAACAATCTCTGGAGAACGATCGCAGTTAAAGTGTAATGTGATTGTTTCCTTCTCTTACTGGTAAGTCTTTATGGAAACATCTGCAGCGGTCCCCAACCTTTTTGGCACCAGGGACCAGTTTCATGGAAGACAAATTTTTCCACGGACCGGGGGGGTTGTGGGGGGAACCCATCACCGCCTCAGCTCCACCTCAGATCACCAGGCGTTAAATTCTCATAATAAGCACACAACCTAGATTGCTGGCCTGCACAGTTTACAGTAGGGCAGGCACTCCTATGAGAATCTAATGTACTGCTGATCTGACAGGAGGCGGACCTTATGCAGTGATGTGATTGATGGGGAGCAGCTGTAAGTACAGACGAAGCTTCATGCGCTCACCCACCACTCACCTCCTGCTGTGTGGCCCCGTCCATGACCCGGGGGGTAGGGGACCACAGCGCTGTAGAATTTTTGAAAGACAGAGGAGGGCAGGTGTATTGTCTTGCCTTGAGTCCTTGGGCAGAGGGTCAAATATCAAAGGTCTTTCAATAAATGTTTCTGAGAAAAGGCAACCGTAAAAATCTGGATGTGAGGGTAGGTACTTCTGACAATGAGAACTCTGAGGTTTTCCCAGAAAAAATGACGTGTGACTTCCAGCCTGACCTAAAGTGATGGGCCTCTGAGAGCAGCTGAGAGGTATTCCTAAGGAAGACGGAGGCTCGATATCTCAATAGACAGGCCTTTGGCTCTATTAAGGTTCAGAACTTTCTAGAACTTTCTAAGGATGTTTTGTTTCTAGAAACATTCCATTCCAACTTGCATAAGCTAGGTGGCTGACGGCCCCCAGGACAATCTTAGTTTAGGGCTTTTCAAATGTTGTACTTGGATTACGTGGGAGGCATGTTAGTGGGGAATTCCTTCGCCCTATTTCTGAGGTCTACAGAAAAACACATAAAATTCTGAGACTTATTGACCCATGACTTTCTGAAATTCATGCTGACACTTTCTTCTCTTGTATTAACCATATCCTGCCTTATAGAAATGTCTATAGTGATAGTAAAATAAAAAATAGCCCAAACATTTCAGAACATGTATTTTATGAATGTAGAAAATCACTTCAATTTGACCAACTAAAATTCCATTGCTTCCTAAAAAAGAAAATGCCCAATTCCTGAGGACATGGGAACTAAATGTCCCCATTTCAAGTCATTTGGAGTCTAAGAAAAAAACAGGTCAAACTATTAGAAAACAAAGCTGCAGGAATAGTAAATGTTCTCTGCTTTTCTAGTCTTTCACAGAAACCTAGAATTTGTGAACTAAATATATATTGAGTCATATTAAGCGAATAATTATTGAGTTATCACACCTCTTCCTCTTCCATCTGTTCCCCATCTTATACTGTTTAGACTCCTATCTTTTCTTAGTAATGGAGACGGCGTTTATTTCATACTTTTCAACCCGGGTGTTGTTTTTTTTGTATATATCCTTATTATTTCCCTTAAATACTTAACTGTTATATATAAGGCTATGACATGCTATGCACTGAATGTGTACCTGTCTAATTTATGCCAATGACCTTTTCTTAAAAAGAAAAACCCAAATTTCTCAGAGGCATCTAAGACTGGCTAGAAATTACATGCCTCTCATCTGCCTTTATCTTCCTCATTTCCTTGGGTCAAGAACTCTACCTACCTCTCATCTGTCTATACATCATCTACTGTCTGTCTCTCTCATGTGTACTGTCTGTCCGGCTACCTATCACCTGTCTATCCATCTATTCACTGTCCATCTAAATCCATGTATCCACCTATCAACACACCTATCATCTGTCTGCCATCTACTGTTTATCTATTTACCCGTCTATCTGCCAATTACCTAATAGTTTTCCAAGTCTGCCCATGGAAAACTTTCACTCAATATAAAAATAATAGGCATTAAAGGACACTCTGCCTCCTCAGGAGATCCATGCCATCCCCTGCCTGCAAGTATTAACTGAGAGAGGTAATTGATAAGGTCTCCTCAGGTAAGAAACCCACTGGGAATCTGTGAGCCGCAGAATGAAATGAGACTACTGGGGTCGCCATGGGAACGTCATGCTGGTATCTCCTTCCCATCCCAGATCCTGTCTGCTACACTAGGCTGCCCCACCCCACCCCACGCCACAGGAAGACTAAAGGGCTTTCTGAACCATACCACAAGCATGAAAACCCAACTTCTACTCTCCATCTGCTCCTGAAACCTGCTCCTCACCAAGTCTTCCCCCTGCAGCGAAGGGTATCCCCTACTTGGTTGCTCAAAATGAAAGTCTTGATCAATAGTTCCTTGACTTAACCCCATACCCCCCCTTCCCCATGTGCAACCCATTAGAAAATCCTATCGGTTAAACTTTGAAAAGTTCTTCCCTCCTTCTCTGCTGCCACTATCCCAGACTAAGTCACTTCTCTCCCTGCTTGGAGAAGTTCCACAATAGCAATGCCCCAACGCTCACCATCTCCTCTTACTCCTTCTTCCCCTCCCCGCAACCCTCTTCCAATCTACTCACAGTGGCCAAAGCAATTTTTAAGAAGAAAATCAGATATATCCTTCTGCTATTCAGAATTCAATAGCTCCCTTCTGAGCTTTCGATAAACACACATCCCTTACCTTGGTCTACACCCCACACAACCTAACCCCTGTCCATCTATTTTGTACATTCTCTCCACCCCCCACACACCTCTCCCCATTTACGGAGACTCCTTTTCCATCTGTATAACACCTCCCAAGATTATTCTATATAAGGACTTTTTGTTCCCACTGCTCCCTCTGCTTCGAGAACTCTCCGCAGCTCTTCACAAAGTTGACTTGATGTTATTTAGGTCTCCGGTGTTTTCCCAGAACATGCTACTTAATGTCACTTCCCCGCCTCCTCTTAGAATTGCTCTTTGATTCCATTCCCAGTTTTATTTTCTGCATAGCTGTTAACGCTGTCTGGTTTTATCTTTCTTTCTTTGCTTGCTCTTAATTGTTTCATATAGCCATTTTCCTTCATTAAAAATTAACGGTGAAGTGGACAAGCTTGCTGTCCCGCATGAATTTCCAGCACCTAAAACTTGTGTTTGGAAAAGAGTAGGCACTTCATAAACATTTCCTTCGTTTTACTCTAAGAGATTATAGAACCTTCTCTAATGGATTAAGTCTTTTTTGGCTGGGACCGTGTCCCCTTCCAACCTCCAAGCACCTGCTTCCTTGTGTATGTTACACATCTAATGCAGGAGGACCCTATTGGGGACAACTATCTTCCAGATTGTTTATTTGAAATCTTCCCACTTTTTTGATGTAGGTGTTGATTGCTATAAACTTCCTTCTTAGCACTGCTTTTACTGCATCCCATAGGTTTCGGTATGTTGTGTTTCCATTTTCATTTATTTCAAGAAATTTTTTTTTATTTCCTTCTTAATTTCTTCATCAACCCAACGGTAGTTCAGAAGCAGGTTGTTTAATTTCCACATGTTTGTGCAGTTTCCAAAGTTCCTCTTATTTTTGATTTCTAGTTTTATTCCATCGGGGTCTGAGAAGATACTTGATATGATTTCAATGTTTTTTTTTTTTTTTTTTAATTCGTTAAGATTCGTTTTGTGGTCTCACCTACAGTCTATCCTGGAGAATGTTCCCTGTGCTGGTGAGGAGAATGTGTATTCTGTAAGCGATGGGTGAAATGTTCTGTAAATGTCTATTAGGTTCATTGTGTCTAGGATCCAGCCCTTGAAAATCGCCCCTGCTCAGACTTGCAGAGCTCACTCAGGCTTATGTAGATGTATGCAAATAACATGCAAATGTGCCCACAGTCCCTGGGACTCCTTCTAGTACCTGGAAGAGACCCTTGGGACAACCCCGTTGGAGATAAGCGCCTGCACTGTCAGGAAGACGAACAAAATGATTCCATTTTTAATTTCTTAGGCAGTTTGTGTACGTCCCCAGGCCTTGCAAATTCAGAGATTTTGATCAAGGACATTAAACCGAACAATGAGGCTTACAACAAAAGGAGAACAGCTGATAAAGCCCACCGCTCCGAGCCTCCTGGGGCCCCTCCGCACAACAAGGCAATGGAGCAGAGACCAGGCACATTGGGGTCTTGCCAGTATCTGACGCACGCGCGGTTCGGAGGGACCCCTCTGGGGCCCAGCCTCCAGGGGCTGCATCCGAGTCAGCACTGCTCTCCCCAGATTTGGCTTGTCAGAAGTCACATGCCAACCTTCTTCAGAAAAATGCTGGCCCAGGTCCCCGGTGTTAGCTATCGCTGCATTGGGTGTTAAAAGGCAAGTCTCACTGTGCACAGGAAAAACTCAGCACATGCCCTCTCTAGGGCTCCACCGGGCTGTGTGTCACCGAAACACACACTGCAGGGGCTTCAGAAACTACCCGTAAGTGCTTTCTAAAGATGTGCACCAAGGATGCCAGACACAAGGTAGCTGAAAGGGTGCAGGAGGCAACGTCCAAATGCCAACAAGAAGCTAGCTAGCTGCACACCGTCTACAGATGTGTTCTGTTTTGGTTCGCTCAGTATTTTGGGGGCAGCATGCATGCCTTGGCAGCATTTAGATTTCATCTAAAATATAGGATTTCAGGTTCTCTTGAAACATTGGCAGAAATGGCAAATTTTAGTTACGAATTCCCCATGGACGGATTTATTAGAGCTGATCAGGGGCTGCATTTAACTCCCCAGTTAGCCACACTCACCACTGCCCCCTGCGGCGGCGTGCCTGGCTGGGAGGCCAAACGGCTACTATCTTTTGTTGAAATTCTGTGCTATTTTTCTTCTAGTAGAGAAGTATTCTGCTTTATCCAGTATGAAAACAAAAGACAGTCCAAAAGGACAGTTTCCCAGACTCACTCTGATTTCTTGTTTTACCTGCTCAGCCCTTGTTAGCATCTCAACATTTGATCTTTAGTGTCTATCAGGAAATTCAACTTATCTACAACAACAAAAAAAGAATGATATGACTACTTAATACTAAGATTATTGTGTAATTAAATAATAAGGTGCTACCAATAGTAGTAAAACTTTTAAGGCACTTTGTATACAAGCGTTGTGTTTAGTACTTTATCTCCCATAATTTTCACAAATACTTATGATGCAAGGTCATGTTATAAGTACAGTTTTCATTTGAGAGAAGTGATGTGGAAAGCGTAAACAACTTGCCTATAGTTCAACCAGCCGGAGCTGACGTGGGGAATAAGTCTACCTTTCTCTAGACTCTTGGATGCTTTTGTCCAGTTTTCATCCTCCCTAAAAGCTCTAAGAAAATGAAAGAACCACATCCAACACCCCTGATTCCCTGACATCCAGGAATCCCTGCAAATTCAGCTCTCAGCTTGTTTTCCATTTGCGACATTTGATGTCCCTTGAACACAACAGACCCAAACTTCTCTGTGTGGGCAGGTGTCCTTGGGAGAAACTGCAATAGAGAAATAGCCCAATTCCCTCTTTGTGGAGCTTTCTGACGGGTAGACTATCCAGAAGCCTAGATTTCATTCCACAGCGTTCGCTCATGTCCATGTTTAAATGTTCTGGGAATGGGTCCGCATCTTCTATGATGTTAGCGAGGGAAGTCCTCTATAGCAGAACCTTCTAGACAAGAATCTTATCACATTTAGGGCTGAGTTTTACTCATCACTGGAAACCCTGCAGCTGCTAAAACTTTTGCTGGGCACATGATTGAACCCATGCATGAATGTGATGCTGGTGCTGATAGCTATATTTCACCATTTGGAGACGACCTCAAAATTTGATGACTCTGGTAATTTATAATTTTGCTGAACACAATTTCTATGCCTTGTTTGAAAGTGAATTACATAGCTCATGAGTGAACCTCACCAATTGCTTAATTTTCTCATTTCAATGTGACCTTATTGGTCCTGATTTATTCTTTTTTTTTTTTTTTCTGTAACTATACCCTCTTGTTAAGGATTTGAAAGGGCTCCATACTTTTTCAGTTTTATGGGAAATTTTATTTGTAGTGGTGATACTGATGAGTTAAAACTTGGAGAACTATTTTTCTTTAAATACTAAAGTTCTCCATAATCTCCACTATAGAACCCACAGTCTTTTATATAATTAGGATTCACAACTGTTTTTTAAATCAAGTGTACTGTGATTATCCATCTACCCCTGGGGTGCCATACTCAGCACCTGTGGCAGGAATGACCCCAAGTGCCCCTTTGTAGGTGTCTGGACAAGAGACCCATGCGACTTATTCCTGGAAACTAAGAATGCACAGCTACCTGGGAATGAGACGTGGGATGTTTATGCCAACGTGTGGCAGGAACACAGGTTGCACATTTAACAATTTTTTGGTTACTGTAGCCAATTTCCATTTGCATACAGTTCAACAAGATGACAAGGGGAAAATGATGCCTGACAGATATCACAGGTATGGCCACAAGATTTTGTCACTATGTGATTAAAAAAAAAAGTCTTCATTAATTATTTCTTCTCATCTAGCCTCAATTTTTGCATCTCTAAAATAGGGATAATGATGTGTTCTTTGCAGGACTTCATTTGGGTCCAGTGCATTTACAATGCTTCACATAATGTGTACATAGTATTCCAGAAACGTTGGCTATTTATGAATGGGCTTTGAGTTGTGTTAAAAAAAAAATCCTACAGGTCTACTTTTCAGTCTCTCCATATGACATTGATCAATAACTCTTTCCCTAAAATAAATATGCATACATATGGCTCAAGGAACAATATTTGGCTTTTCTTGCTTCATTTGTTCACTCAGCACACGTGAGCACCTACGCATAAGCATGCAAACACACTGGTGCGTTACATGCACAAAACAGTTGCAACTGCATAATTAAACAATATGCTTAATAGGTTGACGTTATCATGTATTAACTCTGGCAAGTTGCAGAGCTATTATTTTTATCCAAGTAGAAAGGCTTCATGTCATATAAATCAAAGGTTTGTTTCATTTCAGCACTGGGTGTTTCAAGCTTGTTGAGGAAATTGTCTTTACCATTTAAGGGTAAATCTTGGGTTGCTGGAGCTGAGAAAAATGGTCTGCAGAATAAATAATTCTTGTGGTCCTTCAACTTAGAGCCCTACTATATTGAGAGTATATCCCTGTCTAATGATTCCCTTTTTAAAATGAAGAGCAAAGTGACTTTGTGTAACTGACAGCCACTGGCACAAGAAAGAGAAAAAGCAAAATTACCAAATGCTAACATTATTATTTATAACTATAAAACAAAAATAAACAATTACATAACAGTCAGTACTGAAGTTCTGAATAAACCCATAGATCCATTTTATGGAATATTATTATATAACCACTAAAGAGAATTAGTCTGATTTGTACATACTAACATTGAAATAACTCTATATCGATTCATAAAAGCCAATTTAAAATGAAATGTACATCATACTATTTATTAAAAAAAAACATGTACACAATACTGTGAATACTATAAATACATACCTACTACGTGTAAATGCATGAAAATGCAAATTAAACCTACAGGCAACGATCTATAATAGTGGCTTCCTCTGAGGGGGAGGTAGGAAATTGGGTTTGCAGTGGTGTTGTTCAAGATATATTTTATCCTTGTTCTCAATATATTTTTTATTTCTGTGTATTACATGGGTACAAAAGTTTAGGTTACATATATTGCCTTTGCTCTAATGGAGTCAGAGCTTCAAGTGTGTCCATCCCCCAGATGGTGGGCATTGTACCCACTAGGTATGAATGCATCTATCTCCTGATCCCCCTCCCACCTGCTGGACACCCAATGAACATTACACTTCCATATGTTCACTAAGAACAATGGTGATCCGGCACCTCTCGTACTATCCTGGATAGAGCTAGAGCCCATTCTACTAAGTGAAGTATGGCAAGAATGGAAAAACAAGCTCCACATGTACTCACCATCACTATTGGTAGTAATTGTTCTTAATTTTTCAAAAAAAACTTTCTTGTCTTTTGTTAATAAAACCGTATTTTCATGTTTCATGTGTGATTAAAACTTAAAAAGTGGAAAATTCCACATGTATTTCCTTTTGATAGTAGTAAAATTATATTATTTTTTTAAAAAAATCTTTAAGTCAAGAAAAGAATATCCTTCCAGTCTTGCAATTCAACACAACCATTAGCATTTTGGCACGGTTACTACCATCATTTAGTTAAAATTATGCTATACACGTACTTTCTTATTATTTACTTTTTTAATTTATTAGGGGGCCCTTCATAGTCTTGATCCTGCTCTTTTTAATGAGTATAATATATTACTAAGCGTATATACTGCAACTTACTGCGTTACTTCCTTTTTAATTTTCGGTACCATTAAGTACGTGATTAGCATAGCAGCAGATTTCTCCCCCATATATCTTAAGAGATATTTGAGAAGGATTAAAGAGTAAAAATGTTTGAACATTTTTAATAACTCTTCATATATATGTGAATTCTTTTTAGGAGGAGTTTGGGGACATTTTTTCGGTTAGCAAGGGCATAAATACATTGTTTTGATGGGGTCTGCAATACACAGCCACGTTCTCACCTGGCCCCAAATGACACTAACAGGTAATCCACCCACACGTTGTAGTGATCCTGTAGAACCCAGTCATGAAGTGCCCTCCAAACCACTTCAAATGCCTGACATTTCTGGGGAAGACTCAAAGCCAGAACTAAAGCATAGGATTACATTTCCAGAAATTAGTGATTAGTGAGGGGATGGCAATAAAAAAAAAAAAAAAAAAAAAAAAGACGACTTCCATCTTCTACACTCACTATAAAACAACTCACTATAAAACAACAAATTACTCAATTAATTCCCAAGTAATTACTACATCTCAATCCCAAATGGGAGTTATTCTGGAGATGGGAAGGAGGCCATGCACCTATGACCTGGAAATGAAATTTGCCTTCGTTGTGAAATGACCTCACAGATGCAGGTGGTTTCCTGTTGCAGGTCAGCAGCAAGGACTTTGGCCAATGTGGCTTGTTAGAACAGATTCCCTTGTCAAATTACTTAACAGAGTCCGAGGTAGAGAGGATTTCTTATGAAGGACCAATCTCTACTTACCATTTGTATAAGGGTTGACGGTCTTTTTATTTGTCATTACACGTGCCGTGGCATTATTTACCTATGTACATAGAAAACGCAAATGAGCACACATTCTAGGGCCAGCTCACAATTCAATTAGTTGCATGCATTATGACTGCGATTACTTATTTAAAAAAAACAAACAAACAAAAAAAAACAAAACTAAAATGCATTTTAATTTATATAAAAGGCAGTAGGTGCATAACAAAACCATACATTTAAAAAATTACATTTACTTCATAACCATTTTAACTTACAAATCATTTCAAGTAAAGCAATGTCATATCATTAAAAGTTTAATAAAGAGACAGTAAAAGCAAATTAAAAGATACTGCATAATTGAAGATTTAAAAGCATGCGTGTACTCCATGGTAACACAGAAACGATATATATATTTTTTTAAACATAAAATAAAGTTCATATGAAGGAACATGCAGTGGAGGAGAAGAGGGAAGAGACAAGGTACAAGGGAACATAAATGTCAAAGAAAGGGACAAACAGGTTTTAGCCGTGTGCAACACTGGAGGAGGAAAGAACCATTGGGAAAGCAATATCTAGCATTCAACACTTGGAACAAGAGCCTTTTAACATCGCAAGAATTAACAAAATCATTCAAGCTTCAAAGTCACAGCTAACAAAAGGATAAAAGAGAGGGTGCATTGTTTAACACAATATGGAGTTAACAATCTGAGTAAGATGTGCACCGGTCATAACTCAATCCAAGTCAGTGCCTCCCAGGCTAGCTTAGAACGTACACTCAATTACAGGCGTACCAATATCCAAAAAAATAGAGCATCAAGAAAACTTAATACAACAAGTCAAAAAAATTCACGTGGTATATATATATATGTATATAGATATATCAGCACTAAATACGTGAAACGGCAGATGGACTTCACCACTTACCATTCACCACCATCGCCAGCATGGGTTTGTATACAGTTACCATGGTTACTGAGAGTTTGGTGAGGGGCCTAAGCGTTACCGTCGAAGGGGGAAAATGAAAGGCAAAATATGCAACATCTTACTCCAAGGACTAAAGCATTTTTAACTGGTTTTTTTTTTTTTTTTTTTTTTAAGTTTTAACAAATACGACCCTGTGGCTATGTTGAGGGAGATCTCAGTGGTACAAATAGCAGACTCTGAGCGTCAGAATTTTGGTATTTTTGTTTTCAATGAACAGAGGCCAGATATTGAATGGGAAAAATCCTGTTTTGATTGTTCACTTTTATTATCAAAAGAATACAGAAATTCAAACTGGCTTCCTAAAAGGGGGAAAAAAAAAATGAAAGATTTAATGATAAAAACCTCTCATTTTTTTTTTTTTAAACAAATCTTCTTTCACCATTTGGTTTAATTTGCAAACCACTGTGGATCCCTCTTCAACCCTGAAGTGGAAAAAAGAAAAAGAGAAAGAAACTGTTCCGTATTTGGTTTGGTTTGTAACACTGTCTACTCTTTGGAACCTACTGCACCCATCGATTACAAAACGTGGAAAATAACAACAACAACGAAAAAGAAACCCTTTCCAATTAACCTTCCTCTCGTCTCACTTTTGCCATCCACCTTTCAGCAGTAATAAGAGTAACATAATAAAGTCAAATTAAAAAAAAAAAAAAAGTAAGGCCAGTTTTCCTTTTTATATATAAGTGTGTATATATATATATATAAACAATGAGAGGGGGCAGGGTCACACAGAAGACGCCAATGATGCTTCCGGAACAACGAATGAGCGTGAAGCAGACATTTATAAAAAAGATGAAAAGGAAAATATTTTGAACATGCACCTCGATTTTACGGCCCTCTACCACGGTGCCGTGTAATTTCTCCCTCGCCCTGTCGGCATCGGCACTATTTTCGAAAGTTACGAAACCAAATCCCTGCATGCAGGAGGGAGAAGGGAAAACAACATGCAGATCATTATTTCAGTCAGTGACCACTTGGTAACGTTCTCTCGCTTTAATTTCTATTTCTTGTCCTGGCTTCAAGTTCTGTAACATGCAAATTAGAGAAATTATAAGAGTACTGAGATGTGCAATAATTAAGCGACAAATGTGAACAAGATATATTTTTTTTTCTGTCACCAGTTAGCTGTAACCCCTGAAGAACTCAATAAAAAAAAAAAAAGGATACCAAAAATACCTTTCTAAATGTCACTACAGAAGAAAATAAATCTAACGAAAAGAAAATGAGATCGAAATAAATTTACAGTGTTTTCACAGAGAATAAAATGAAATAACGAGGAAAAAAAAAAGGAACCACTTTCTTGACATGCAAATTAAAAATAAAATAAAATCAAAACGTGTGCACGAAATTCAACAATGAATGCCAAAATTCTCTAACATTGCCTACAGAGTCATGCCGTGTGGTTTTAAGAACATCTCTTCTTCATGCAATTTTAGGGTTATTCAAATTTGTCAACTCTACAGCCTTTACTTCTCAAAAATAAAAGTTAAAAGCCTAAAAAAAGGAAAGACCTTTTTTTTTTTAAATAATAAATCTTAAACTCTTTGGTCTAATCAATAAAAAAATCACATGAAATGAATAGAAATAAACTCAGTTGATCCATACATAATACAAACAATTCCAATAATGTTTTTATATTAATACTTTCCCCACCCCACCCCCAAATGTACATGCTTTTGAATTTGACAACTTTTCACACTACTTTGTTAACCAAAAAGGGAAATGTGTACACATATTGTAAAGTTCTAAGACATTCTGTTGGTATTCATTTGTCACATTGACAGATAGCAAAATAAAGAAGCTTCATTAATAGAATGCAATTTATAATAGCACTCTACCCACTTCCTCTTCTACTGGTAGGTAGCAAATAGACTCCTTACTTCACACCACAGGTACAGTTTACATTTAATATTTCAGCCTCAAAAAAAAAAAAAAAAACAACCCCAACTAAACTTCATATTGTCAAATTCCATCTTTTGTCTTCACTGACACTGTTCCTAAGAAAAGTACAGAAAATATGGCACATTATTTTTAAAACCCCTAAAAATATTTGTACATTATGTTCAGAAATATACACCAACCTTTTGAACAGTTCCAGTGCAAATTTGCCCAGCTCCTTCTGGTTTTCAAAGTGTAAACTGGGTGAAAGAATGCAATATATGGAGACTCCTACTCGCACTGAATAAACCTTATACTTAAAGGGAAACGTGGGCTCTAATCTTAGTGAGGGCAGCGTATTTCGTTTTGCTGATAAGATGCACAGTAATTACAGACACAAGGTAGTCACAAGCAACTGGTGTGAACTCCCAATCCCACATTGGATCTCTGCAGTGATCTTGAAATCCAAGACTGGGGAGAAATGCGTTGCCCAATGGGCTGGCTAAGAGAGAATCTTCCAACAGTCAAGATGGGTCCCCCCAGTGAGAATGGGAGCCATGGATACGGATTCAAAGGAGGGTAGACAATTTTCCAGGATGCTATATGCAGGTGTCCCTTGGTATACATAGTGGATTAGTTCCAGGATCCTTTGCTCACACCAAAATCCACCCATACTCAAGTCCCATCGTCAGCCCTGCAGGACCTGAATATACGAAAACTTGGCCCTCTGCTTATGTGGGTTTGCAACTGCTATATTTTCTATCTGCATTTGATTGCAAAAAAAAAAAAAAATCTGCGTGTGAGTGGACCCATGCGGTTCAAACTTGTGTTGTTCAAGGGCCAGCTGTTTGGGGAAAATTAAGTTTCTTTACTTTGGGAGATTGGACTGAATCACCTTTCAGAGTCTTTCCTGTAGTGAGGATCTGTGATTAGAACGAGCCTGAACTATTTGATTTATACGCCAGTTAACAGAAGGGTCGTGCTTAGTCTTGTACATACCACACACCATAGGCCCATGGTGGGTCCTCAAATAGACCTCCTAACTTAAGAGTTTGGAAATAATAGCTCTTCAAAGGGGGAAAAAAGGCAGACAGACTTGGGGGAGGGGTTGCTCTATTTAATGACTCTAACTCTTGGCCAGCAGGTCCTAAATTTTAGTTGCACATCAGAAGGAACTAGGGAGTATATGAAAGGTTTAGATTCCTGGACCTTGTTTTGTATCTATTGGATCAGAATCCTGAAATAGAGTCCAGAAATCTGCCTAAAAAGCTGACTGTGGAGCTGAGCAATTAGATTTCCATTACCTCTCATACTACTGCATACCGTCAAAAGGAGGTTTAGGGTTTCTTTTCTTTCTTTTTTTTTGTATTAAGTAAATTTTATATTGCTGGCTTCTATGGAGCTTTTGACGGGAATCTGACTCAGTTCTTTGGAGCTCAGATGGAGGAGTGAAGCCAAAATCCCACGTCTGAGGATTTTTAGCAACATTCCCCTTCCCCGCTATGGGGTTCACTGCCCAGCAGCCACAGCCATGCCACGCACTCAAAAAGTAGTCAGAGAAACTAGAACTCTGGATCTATGTTTTGTCACTGAGCAAGAAAAAAAATGTGTGGAGCCCCAGTCTTATAGCTGGGGGGCCAAGGGGCATTGTTGCTGCCCATGCGGCGGAGCTGTCATTATTACCACAGCACGGGGAAGAACACAGCCAGGTAGGACCGGTTCACACCCAACCCGCCTAGCCAACATTATCCTAGAGAATCTCACGCAGGTGCGTCATATCCGAACCCAAGGCAAACTCGGCAGCCTGAAGTCAGCCTTGGGGATGTTCACGGGGAGATGAAGGCCAAGACGGAAATATACTTGGAACCCACCCGAGGGAAGGAGCATGAACTAAAAAGGAAATTACCCCAATCTATTCCTAAATTCTCCCTTTGTTTGTAAGCAAAAAAAATATATTGATTTTTTTTCACTATTCGTCTTATTGTCATTGTCTTCCTTTCCTTCTTCCTTTCTTTCCTTCCTTCCTTCCTTCCAGCTGCTTCCTACTCTGCATTTCAAGCTGCTGAGATGACTTAGTTGAGATTGGTCACAGTTAGGTGATTCAGAAAGAGCTTGCTCCAAAAGTAGCCATCAAAACACCAAACAGACCTTCCCACCTGTTCCACTGGACAGTTCTACCTCTCACCCCCACAAGAAGTGATATGGATTCCCAGTGTCACTGGGTCATCGCGATTCTCATAAGGGGAGCCACTGTCACCAGAGAGACACTCACCTGTGCCCCTCTATGAAGTGCAAGTGCTGAGACTGCGTCTTCTGACCTACCTCATTGGTCAGAATTCTGACTCATGGAAGCCACAGCTGGCAGTTCTTAAATAGATAATGAATATTTTTTTACCTTGGCCTTAAAAAGGAGAACAGGACCTGGGTGTGATGCGGATGGGTGACCCCTTAAAAACCAAGACTGCCGGAAGGGCTACAGAGAGGGGATTCAGAGACATGCCTTCCCGGGGTTTACCTTCAGTATTACTGAAGAAAGAATCTTTGTGCCCTACCATGGGGGTATGATTATTAGGCTAGATCACGGTAACCCTAAGACTCCTTCCAGAGCAGCATAAATGCTTACTTTAAAATACTTTCATGAATCATAAATTCTGGCCCTCCTCTATCCTACTTATTGTTCTCTTGTGGTCTTTGGCATTTTTTAGGTGACATCTTCCATTTTTCGCATTCGTGAAAATACACCATTTTATATCTTCTTTAAATTTATTAATTATTGCGGGTACATAATAGTTGTGTGTCTTTACAGGGTGCATGTGATCTTTTGACACAGGCACACAATGTGAAATAATCAAATTAGGGTAATTGGGGTAATCCCTCCCCTCAGGGCACTTAACATTTCTGTGTTAGGAAGATCCCAATTCCAGTCTTTTAGTCATTTCTAAAGTGTGCCCAATATTTTAAATAAAGGCTTAAACAGGCTTAAATAAAGCACCCTGGATGGATGAACGCACTGATTTTTCTCGTTTTATATGAAAAATCAAATCCTCTAGTTCCTGGTGCAGAGAACTCATATTTGTAGGAGGGGAACAGTTGATAAGAGTGTGAAGATTCATTTTCCTGAGGGACTAAGGACCTCATGTCTCACTTCTTTGCAGCAACCTTTGCAAGTGCAGCCTCCTGTCCCTGGAAGACATCCCCCGTTGCCCTCCCAGAGAAATTCTTACTCATCTTTCACTGTCAATATAAATGACCCTTCTGCCTAGAAGCCTTACCACCTTCTAACAGTATTGGTCCATTTGCTTGGACTCCAAAGAGCCTCCCACGTGGAATACAGCACACTTTATGGGGCCTGCCCATCCTAACAGCTTTACTTGCTGCTCCTGCGAACCTACTAGGACAGGAGTCACTTCTGTCTCTCTCATGGCTGGTTCACCTGAGACATAACAGAGTCTTAGAGATATCTACTGCATCAAAGATCAAACTATGTAGTTATTTCTGAGGTATATTAGAGAGAAGCTGTACCTGCCTGTAGCACCCAAACAAATAATCCCAAGAGTCAAACAAGATGGTTTGAAAGGAGAAATGAATTCCAGGATGACTTACTAAAAAGTGATCCTGAAAGAACTCCTAAAAGGAAAAATGAATTACAGGATCACTTGCCCCTACATTCTTTCCAATTCTTATTTTCAAAGTCTGGAGTGTCTTTCTAAAATGTGGTTTTCCTGTATACTCACTACCCATATAGACATGAAATAACTCACGCTATACGTTCCCAGGATAACACAGATACCACCTATGTATGTATAGGCGTGGACGTCTACAAACATAGGCGCACACACACGCAAACTCTGCCGGCACTGAGCAGCCGCCTCAGGGACTGTGCCACAGAAAATGAGTAGTCAGAAGGTGAGTTCCTAGCTCTTGGGTGCCCACCTGTTTCCTGGCTGTCCCTCTCTCCAGCACCAAATGATGGAAATAAGGTCGTCACTACGGTTCAAGTTTCTCAACCATTATAATGGAAATGGTCCTCTGAATAAGGTCCTTCCCCACCAAGGATGATGTCAAGTATGAAGAACATCCCTGTATGAGCAGCTGCCCCCATTTAGCAGTTCCCAGCTGAACCGTCTCAGCGACATTCCAGCGCTACCTGAGCCCTTAGCTCCAACACCTGCAAGACAAGTTCTCTCTGAGGGAGCAGACCCACCGAGAGAAGCTATTTTGGATGTTTCCTAAACTAAAAGAATAAAGGAAAGAAAAGAAAAAAACACATCAGACTCTGGATGCAGCAAACTTTGGTCTTTTTCCCTGAAGCCCCCAGAGACAGGCTAATCATGGGAATGACGGAAGGAGCCTTAAAAATAGCACCGCCATTGTACTTTCAAAATAGCAAATGATATTCTTCTAATGTCCCAAAACAGCTCTCGAAAGGAATTAAATAGCTTTCTTCAACCTGCAAAAATCACACAACAAAATATAAACTTATAACAATAAACAAACAAAAAAATCTTGAAAGGCAGGGCCTGCTCTAGATGGATTTGGGGTGAGAACAAAGTTGGCCAACATTTGGGTCAACTCTACAATTCTGCCAAGAATACATCAGGCTTGAGAGAACAGGATTAGGTTGGGCACGCTTTTCTCTTAATGCACTTTGCTTTGCAGGTACAGAAATAGTCCCTGTAATGATTTTTATAGAAGAAGCAGAAAGAGAGTTAGAGAGTTATGTTTAAGAATGACTGTAAAAAATCTGAAGTCATGGAAGAATGACAAGCTGCCTGAATGAGCATAACCACAGACTGTAATGGATTGATTTTTTTTTTTTTTTAACTTATCTGGCAGATCACAGCATCATTTTGGCTATGGAGGAGAAATTACTGGAATTTTGTTCCCTCGATTCCATCAACACTGTCCTATTCAGTTAGCGCTAAATCCACTTAGGAGGGAGGAGGGTGCAGACTGTCCAAGGAATAATAAATTCAAGTGTCTCCTTGGTGGGGAAGAGGCAGTTATAGACCCAAGAGAGCTAGCACCGTGGCCTGTGGCCACTCCAGACAAAATGAGAACTGCTTAGTAACCCTCCAGGACACTGACTTGGCCCAAACTGCCTGTGTCAGGAAGGTTATGGGGCCAAAGCCAGCATCCCTCCTGGTACCCAATGAGCAATCCACTTTCACAAGCAGAGGATGTAAGGAGAAGGGAACTTAAAATTCCCCGACAACCTGGGGGAGTGGCCGTCAGGAGACAAGGCAGAGCTATTAGAAGCGTTCACTTCCTGGTCACTAAGGTCCTCATCCTCATCCTTTTCCAACGTCACCGTCTGCTGTCACTCAGCGTCTGCTGAGACGTCTAATGCGCCGTTTTCCTCAACTGAGATTCTGATGGGGCCTTTGAGTTTTCCACGGGTGCAGCAGAATGAGGTCACTTTAGCAACAGCAGCGGCCACGAGAATGAAACACTAGTAGTGGGCAAAGGAGTATTTTGCACTGAAGTGGAGCCCCGGCATTTGTCTAAAATACAGACAGATGCAGTGTTTTAATGTTTAGCACAGGCCTAGAGGGTTGGCTAAAACACAGGTCGCTGAGCCCCGACTTCAGAGTTTTTGGTACAATAGATGTGGGTTGGAGCCTGACAATTTGCATTTCTGATAAGTTCCTGGGTGATGCTGATGTTACTGGTCTGGGACCACCCTGAGATCATCTAACCACTGATAGAGAGGATGCTTTAGAAGAATTTGGTTTTTTTCCCTTCTCCCAACGTGTTTCTATTTTGAAGGTGCCTGACTGAACCTCTCCATACATCCCCTGACTTTTATTTGAGCTAGGAAAATCTACTTAAAAATTAATTTCCTCAAACAAGCAAACTCAAAGCAACGGCAAATTGCAAAAGATAGATTGGTGAAACCATACTAACGAATAAAATGATATTCAAATGGTTGGTGTATATGTACTTTTCTCCCCTACAACCCAGGAAAATAACTGCACTTTATTAATACAGAATAATCACATATTTACCTGTGCATGAGACACTATCAACTCACTTTTTAATATAAAGAACATAATTATCACTGAAAAACAAAAATGTAGCAACAGCATTATTTTTTTAAGCATGGATAATTTTCCTCTGGAAACTTGATAAAAATAATATATATATAAATTTTTAAAATTATATCCCCTTTTATGTTTTAAACTGAACCCAATATACTACCCAGCATTTTGAAAACTGGAGGTGGTCTACAGAGAAATTCCCACTGACGTGTATTTTCACCATGTGCTGATTAAAACAGTGCAGTTGTTTCCCCTTATTCATAACAAACGTTTAACAATAAGCTAAACAATTCTAAAATGAATTAAGTTGCTTACCTTTGAGCCTCGCTCATTAAAAATAATTTCAACATCTAAGATTTTACCAAATTGCTGCAAAGAAATAGAAATATTTTATAAGCAAGAATAGAAATGGAACAAGTCATATTATGCACACTGGTAATTGGTTCCCAAGCCTGAATTATTTGTTTTTCCTCTTTTCATCTCCAAGGATATACATTTTACGTTTTTTTGTCATTAAGTAATGTGGTTAAAACAAGGGAAAATATGACCCTACATATTTTATCATGTCCTTTAGGTGACATGTCCTGTAAAAGGCCGGATACAAAATATTAATCAAGAGGTTAATTCTTTTTTTTTTTAAATATGTGTATGATAGTTTTCCCAGGCACTAAGCAGCTGTTTCAAAACAGCTAATATACAATATACACAATGCTCTTCCTGAGCTATCCCACTAGCCACTGGGACAAACGTCCTTGATGAGGTAGGGCTTTGATAATAAAATGTCCAACTAGAATATGACACTGATGGTTTTGGCCCCCAGCTCACATAGACACTAGAAGCAGCCAGACCCTATGGGACAAGTGAAGACTAAACATAAAAGCAAGCTCCACTCCCAGGCACTCATTGTAATCAAAGTACCAGCACAGTTGATATGATTCTTCATATTGTCAAACAGGTTTTCGACAATTAGCATGGATAGGCTCTACAAAAAGTGCAGAAACAAAGATTCAGATTACAAATACATTGGGTAGCCAAATGAAATACAGACACCCAGATAAATTCAAATTTGAAATTTTTCTGGATAAGCATATCCTGTGCAATGTCAGGGACATACTTATACTTAATAAAATGCTTCTCATTTATCTGAACTTCAAATTCAACTATTGTGTCATATATATATATATTTTTTTAATTTGTTGAATCTGGCAGTCCTAGTTAGAAATACACATTAAAGAAGAATTCTTTATTCACACTTAAAGAGAGAGAGAGAGAAAGAAAAAGAGAGAGAATGAGAATGAATATGAGGGCTCTGAAACTATAAGTATCTGATAACCCAAAATGCTTTTCCCCTGATTTTGGAATCCTTTTGGCTTTCTTAGATCACGTGAAGCAGCCTGGGAATTTCTCAAGCACAGTTTACACTACGACAATGCAGGTGGGAGTGGGGTGAAGAGAAATCACGTGGCCCAGGGTAGAATAAAATGGGAATTTTGCATCAATGTGGAACGAGAGCAAACGCCTGTGTTAGTGACTAAAAATCAAACAGAACTCATAAAGAAATACTTCCATCCTCTTTTTTGTTTGTTTTGTTGCAAGCTTTCCTATCACTCCACTTGCTTTTGCATTTTGGATTTTATTTGCATCTGTTATTACCCTAGGAGATTCTGTATTCTGTGCCTCTCCCCAAGGTGGAAATTATCAGCGGTGCCTTTCTGTGGCAGAGGGCAGCCGGACTGTGGGGAGGGGTGGCTGGGGCAGGAATACAAAGAGCACAATCGATCAGAATGTGGAGAAATGGGTGCGGCTCCCTGACCAAAGTGCTTCAGTCATGGACCATCGAGAGACTGAGAGTGAACGCCAGCAGGGTCCTGCTGACATTTAAGAAAAAATCATTTGGAACACATAGAGGCTGTCCTATGAGACATACAAAGACATCTACACTTCTTGGAAATAAAGAAAAAAAAAAGTACGCATCAGTTGAATACAAACAGCCCAAGACCGTGCAACGAAAATAGTTCTGACCGTGGGATAAAGGGACCCAGAGCTTGTCATTCTGTGCCAGAGAAATGTGCCCATTCCCCAGGATATGTACCCTACCCAGCCAGGGCATCGCAGACTTGCATTCTTTCTTGCTGAGCAGACGTATTAGTTAGTACTTCTTTATTTCACAGCGAAGTAGAGAGGAAGAAACCAAGAGGAGCAGGTTCAATTAGAGGGAGAGGTGGAAGGGACTCGCTGCCAGCATGTGCAGCGGGAAGACCAAGACACGTGCAGCCAACGTACCCTGCGATTTGTGGACGCTCAAATATTCTTTTGGTCAAGAGACTGTTCCTTTCACAGAACGTTTTCAGCGCCCCAGTTTGGGACAGAGAAAAAAGAACGGAAAGCCAGAAGAAGAACGCTTTCAGATTTGGGAAACGAAGGATTTGCTGTTCAAAAGCGAACTGGATTTCATAGTAAGGCAACCCCCCAGTTGTGTGACCTCCTCGGAAGCAGTCGTTCTGATACAACCGCCTTGGAGGATCCAGTCCACACAGACACTGCTCTATTTATTTCAGGCAGAAGAGCCTAAAAGTGCCCAGAAAGAGAAGCTTGAAAAGAACTTCTTCCAAAACCACAATGCAAATGTCATCTAGGGAACATTCTCTAAGCATTCAACACAGAAACATTTCCTTTAAAATAAGCTCGGGATGGGACGGAACCAATCAAAAAGCAATCTGAGCATGTGTCATTCCCTAAATGAAACGATGACACCATATGCCCTGAAATGGTCTCAAAGTTTGCTTCCCTGGCAGTTGCCATTAGGCTTGGTCGCTCTCAAAGCCAGGGAAACGAGCCCTAAGAAGAATGCTTATGTCAGCGCCATCTCCAAGACAGTTGCGTCCCATATTTATAGTATCAACAGTTTAATTGGGAAGTTTGGTGCTAATGATGTAAACACAGCTGGCACACTTTCAGTTTAAATAGACACGACTCGTTCGCAGACATAACTGGCATTTGTTTGCGCAACAGAAAGGCTCGGCAGCGTTCAACAACGCCCCGCGCGCACGCGAGGCCTCTCGATGGCTGCATCGGGGACGGAATCCGGAAGCTTAGGGGCACGCGCTTGGGCAAATATGTACCCAGCGTTTTGAGACATTCTCAGATCAAATAATATCGCGCCGAAAAACTGTGAAGGATGTTCGACACATGAAAGTAAAGGTTAGTTCAAAGAGTGTGTGTAGAGACTAAGGAAAGGCATCATCCCAGTTTTTCTTCGTGTTGGCTTCATGTTTGGAATGCAAAGCAGGAGGCCCTGTGCTGCATCCCCCAAAACTGGCTCCTCTGCTCACGACAGCATGGCAGACTGAACTCTGCAATGCCACTGAAGGTGCAGGCAAGCCCATCGCTATTTTGTCACTAAAGAACGATCATGAATGCTTCTCTCACATGTGCTGAAAGTCATGTGATCTGATTTTTTTTTTTTTTTTGAAAATCAAAAGAGGCTTCAGTAGATCATTTGCCTGCCCAGTGGGTTTGTATTTGTATAATAAAATCAAGGCTGCTTTTTTTTTGTGTGTGTGTGTGCAGATTTGTGGCTTGTAGACACTGAGCAACTGTTTCTGAAAACGATTCCATGATGGCATGTGTTGTACCAGCAGTCTAGATGCATTCTAACCTGCTTCTTTCACCCCAAACCCCGAAATGTTTCAATATTCAATACTGAGTTAAATTAAACATGCTATTGAAGAGCATGCAACTAATACATTGCAATTAATTTGGTGGGAATGCACACATTCCTTTTCTCGGGATCATTAAGAATTCAAAGGAAAAGGAAATGCATGCTCAGGCTCATGAGGGAGAGCTCAAGGAGAAAGTATAGCCAGGGCCAGAAATAATATGGTACCGGGGCCATTGGTAATATAATAGATCTATTCACTCACACCCCAATGGGTTTTAAAAAGTCTCTGGCTTCTGCTCTGTATGTTGCAGCCTCTTAACCTCTTGCCCAAGGAATGTTCCACATTGCAACAAGAAAAAGAAAGCAAGAAATCTAAGATGAACTAGAAGATTTAATGTGAAACGTCGGAACAAATAACTCCAAACAGAAGAAAATGAAGAATATGAAGCACATGGTGGAAGGAAGGTCACCAGATCTCCAGTCCCCAACCAAGAGGGCTGAAGCCACAAATTAAAAAATCAAACGTGAGACGCCTGCAGTAACCACCAGGCATGCAGCTGTTTGCAAACATCATGGTCGAATTATTAGTGCTTGCAGAAGTTGTTACGAACACTGCCAAGTTTTAGCAAGTTTGAAAGAGGAGGTTGCTTTTTTTGTCTTGTTTTGCTTTTGACTTTGAAATCCCATGCCCATATTTAACAGAAGAGACAAAGGAAAAAAAAAAAAAGCACAAAGATCTTTGAAAGTGTTTCTCTCTGTAACCGTCCCCGTCGTAACCCCTGCCAACGTGAGGAGACAAAGCCAGAATACAGCGCTAAAAGGAGAGAGGATGTCTCATGTCCAAATGATTTGAGAAATACCTAATTGGAATTAAAATGGAGTTTCTCACAGCAACTATGACCTGAAAGAGGAAACCATGTTAGATTCCCTCCTCTCCAGTGTTGGGGAGCAGGTTTATAGATGCCTTACGACGTGATTCATGCTGCTGGATATATCGTATAACAAGAATGCCTTCGCAGCTGCCAATAGTTGGCCAGGAAGAACAGATTTTTAGTGTTTAAATTCCATTTCTTTAGAATGGTGGTTGTAAACCAAGAAGACCTAGGAGTCACTACAAGGCATCTATGAATCCATGTATGCCTGACAATTTTTATAGACAAAACTCACAGAAAAGAATAATCTAGGGTACTTTCAGAAATGGACACAGATGGTATTTGGGATGAACAAAATTAATTTTAGTGTTACTGAATGTATGCTGTAGTCTCTTAATTGATAGGTATTAAGTGTAGGTGTCATCTTGTCAAGTCAACACCTTGTCAGTTGCTTGAAAATCTTGACTTTGTTAAAAAAAATAGTGCTCTGAAGCCAGTAGGTTTTGAACAAAGTTTGATACTGGATAGTACAATCTTATGGCAAGATCTTGCTCCGTTTTATCTGCCCCTGGCCCTAAAAGAATAGATGGGTTCAGATATTAATGCAAGTAGGATCCCTTCCCTGTGATATCTAGCTGTGAATATTTTGAATCTCTCTCTGACTTAGCGTCGCAGCCTGCGGTAACTTTCAAGATAACGGAGAAGACCCAGGGGAGAAGAAAAGCTTAGGGGTGGGAGCTGGGGTCAGCTGCAGTGAGCGACACCATGATACAGTGCCGAGATGGTCATCAAGGGGACTGAATTCAAAGCCAACATCACAGTGGCTCTTGATAAGAAAAGGTAGAGTTGAGCAGCCAGGCGTCTTCTTAGCCTGACTTGGCAAAGAGAATGTGACTCCTCTGGCCGCCCATCATTCAAACCTGGTCTTACTGCTTCCCACACACTTAACCTCCACTCTCACTTTGAATGCTCTGCACTTTTCAAAGTCATCTTTGACCTGAAAGTGCCCGAGGGTATCTCTGTTCTGCAAGAGTTGGAGGGCTCCACTCAAGGTTATTACTAAATGAGAGAGATAAAAGTGCAAAAGTTGACCTTTTCCTCTGAAATGTCAGGATTCAAGTGTGGGTATCTTTTAAATAGTAGGATGCTTGTTCCGCCTTTGTGTCAGATGCATACTTGATAAGCATCAGGCGGATAAAAGAAATAAAAGGTGCAAGCTAATCCCCAAATCACAGAGCCCTTGGAGTAATGAACCAGAGCCCCCCTTTTAATGTGCAGAATGATACCAACTGTGCTCAAAATGAGACATTTGACGTGGGCGCCTTCCGATTCCTTTTCAAATATTTGCATCTTATCCACAAACTCTTCAAAGAAGAGTCTCCAGGCTGCCCACCTTTGCTCTAAGTCGAATGTTAAGGATGCAGTTCTTCCCGGTGAATCCACAGACACTTGCTGTCGTTGCTGGGATGTCAAGGACAACGGACTGACTACAGTTGCGGAAATGAGTAATATCCCGACCCTGTCAAAGCTTTGCCCTTGGGTGGAACTGAGCCCAGGATAGTGGTAAACTCATCACTTCCCAGAGTGGACAGCGAACATGTCTTCCAGAAAAAGAATCAGGGTCACGGTGACCAATAAGGAAGCAAAGCTATCATTAATTTTCTCTGGGTCGGTGGTGGCTTCTGGGCTGCTCTGTGCTTCACCATGGTGCCTGCCTGGCCAGGGCTGCCCTTTGTGGGCATAATAATACATATAATTGATACATGATCACAGCAAGTGTCTGTGAATCCTTGTCACTGATTCCATGAGAACATATACTGCAAGAATCGAGTCAGACTTAGAAATCAGTAGCTTTTTTTCATTTTGCTGTTGTGTTGTTTTGTTTTTCTTAAACTAAGCTTTATGCAGAACTAGTTAGTCTCTGCAGCTGCATCTGAAACCCTAATGCGCAGTGCCTGGGAACGAGGAGGGAATGCAGGAAGGCGGCATGAGTCACTCTTCCAGGTAATGTGATAACTGCAACCGAGAGCAGAATGAGGAGGGCTCATAATGTATATGTGAGCTTCGCTACAGGGTCCCGGGCCACTGGATCTGGGATCATCAACGGGCTTTGTTTCAACAGTGAGAAATCCAGGAGTTTAATTTCATGTGACATTCAAGTCACTTATTAGAGGAAGACCGTTGGGCAAAGTGGAGACACGGTGAGTGTCTGCAAAGAAATTTATGCTAAGACCATAGAGAGTTTCCAGCCACAACGTGCCTACAAGACTGCCTCCCTCCCCCACCTCATGTAAACATCTCACCTTGGTACCGTAAACACCAAAAACTTACACGTGAGAAGGGAGGGCTCTGGGGACCCAGAGCGGGCGCTGCCGAGAAGAAAGGCGGTACTTACGCCAAACATTTGTCGGAGGTCTGGGTCCCGGAACCTGAAGGGGATGTTGGAGACGTGCAGCCGCTTGGGCTGGGACTTGTTTTCCGTGTTTTCTGAAGGCTGCGTCTGGGGCTGTCCATCCGTCGGTGCTGCGTCATCTGTCTGCTAAAAGAACAGGAAAGCAAAGAGGCTCTGAGTGGACCCACATGCTCTGTTCCAATGTGTTTCTGCTTCCCCCAAATGGCAGGAAAATGCCAAAAGGATAAGGGGTGGGAAGCAACCACTGATTCGTTCGTTTGTTCGTTCGTTCGTTCGTTCGTTCATTCATTCATTCATTCATTCATTCATTCATTCATTCATTCATTCATTCCAGTGCCCATCATGGATCTGGGCTTTGGCAGTGGCCAAAACAGGAAAGACAGACAATAAAATAAATTGATAAAAATACAGAGTTGGAAGAAGGAAAAAAGCACTATAGAAAAAAAAATAAAACAAGGTGAGGGGGTTGGGGGGTGCTAGAGTTGGGCATGGAGAGCGAAAACCTCACAAAGAAAGGGAAATAATCACTGAAGGTAGGAGAGTATGGATTCCTTCAACTGGTGCAGTTCGGAATCTTAGGGTATGCCTACGTAATTGTTCAGGCTATACACATAAAATACGACTGCATGTAGCGAAACAATTTTGAAAGGCTGCTTGGCATCCTGCAGTCCAAGTGACCAGCTGATCCACTTATTCCTTTTAAAGGTCTAACTTTAAATTTCTTAGTTGTACAAACCTGTGCTGTCCACTGCAGTTGACCACATGTGACTATTTAAACGTCAGTTAATTAAAATTAAATATAAAAATTTGTTTGCATTAGCTGCATTTCAAGTGCTCAAGAGCCACATGCTTCTATGTTGGACAATGCAGACACAGAACATTTCCATCTCTGCAGAAAGTTCTGTCGTACCATGTTGGTACAGATGTTGCATTATTAGCATAACTCACTGCTCCACCGCCTCCCCCCACCAAATAAGCTTGGATGACATGGCATTTCATTGACGCCCATATACAGGCAGGGACTAGGAGAAAAGTCACAGTAACATCTCGTGTCATTATGGCCCTTGCCATAATCTCAGTTCTAGAGTTTTAACATTTCAGAGACATTTCAGACACTTTCTTTGCAATTAGTATATGCTCCCTCTAGGTGGCAGTACATGCCACCAACATCAGGTACCTGCCTCTTCGAAACTACGACAGAAAACCGATGTGTAAACCCATCAAACGTATGAGCAAGGAACCTTCCTCACCTATTTACAAGCAATTTAGAAGCACACAACTGGGACAAAACTATCAATGTAGTCAGCCAGGTATAAAATAATAATGACTTAGAGAAGAAGACAATCTCACAAAGGGAAAAATAAAAGAAACACCTAAATAACATGGGCATAATTGGCAATTTTCTCATCGACCGTGGTATCTGCTGGACGATTTCATTTGCATTCTCCTTCCTGACATGCCTTAAATTGCATTTTGAAGTCAAGACCTCCCAGTGGCTGGCACACCATTCTTCCAAGCTGATTTGATATCAAAAGACCCTCTTTTCTCCCCCGATGATCTCTTCAACTGTCCAGACCAATGTCATGATGACAACACAACGATGTACTTACTTATATCGCATATACTGGTGGAGTGAATAGGAAGAAGGATGGTGATAATTTTCTTAACTGGAAAATTAGAAATAGTAATAGTTCACACCTTATAAGGCTTTGTAAAGACTGAACACAATAATGCGTGCCAACACGACTGAGTCCTTGGCACACGGTATATATTCAATAAATGGAAAGTAACGAATCTTTTAGAGTGATGGTGATTTTAAAAAATGTCAAGAGAGGAGTAAACTTCTCTTGGGAAACAAAGAAAAGACTGTCATTTGCTTATTAAACACATCTTTACTGAGCAACTACTATGTGCTGGGCACATAAGTCAGTCCTGCCAATCACGTACAGTTCCCAGCTTGCTGAAGGCCTGAGAGGCAGAGAAAGGCAATTATAATACAGACGGTTAAATGCCGGGATGAGAATGAATCACCAAAGGTTGAGTAACCTTAAATCAGCGAACCACAGCACAGCTGGCGGTGCAGCAGGGCTTGCCTTTTATGGAGGGTAAGTTTTAAGTGGGAGACATCTAAGAAGAGAGATGAAAGAAAGTTACGGACACTGTATCGAGAGAGAGCAAAGCGCGTGCAGAGGTGCAGAGATATGAAATAGCGTTCTGGATTCAGGGAAGTACATGTGGACTCCAGAGGGGGCATGCATGAAGGAAGGGCAGGAGAACAGCTACAGAGGCAGGCAGAGGGTGGGATCAAAGCGCCCTGTCTGCAAGAGTCTGAACTTCATCCTAAGAGCTATTAAGGAGCCACTTAAGGATCACAGCAAGGTGTGATGTGACCAGCTTGCGACACAAATGGTAAATGTCTGTTTAAGAGCTAGCTGACTCACTGACTGACCAAACTAATCAATCATCAGTGCAATGAATGAAGAAGTGAACAATCAACCTGGCCCCCTGCAAGTGACACTCAAAGAACAACATTGTAACACTAAGACCCAAACAGAGCAAAAACTGTGTTTTCTCCCCTGGGAATATGAGGTTTGGGTCCATTGTCCACGACACAGAAATCATGAGATTGTCACTTTCCAAAGGGGTAAGAGGTTTCAGTACTCTCCCACAAGACTCTAAGTTTGCAATAATATCAGCTAAGACCACCAAGCTTCCAGACCATTTTTTCCACCCTATTAGAAGTTCCTATTTAAATGCAAAATTAAAATGAGCTCCTTCTCATCCCAAGAAAGAGACTTAGGTTTGGATTTGAGCACAACTGCTGGATGTTTCAGTTTAATAAACCTAATTAGGAATTACAGAGATTATGATTAAACATATTAAATGATTAATAGCATTATGCTGCTCATGTGAAAATTAAAATTAATCATCTCTAGTCAAACAGGACTTTGGAGAAATCTTTGCGTTGTTTCCTTTGATAAAAACATACAACGCTCAATTAATCATTTTGCCGTGTACGCATATGTACAAATGCTTATAAATTGTTATGTAGGAATACCTGTGTGCTAGCAATAATGTTTAGAGAAGACACATAAAATAAAGAAGTAAAATCAAAAATGTTTTAGCTCATTGTGGGTTTATGCACAGGGAAGAAGAGGAGTGTTAAGACACAGACGTTGAGAAAGAGCAACAGAAAGAAAAGAAAATCTCTTCCAGTCTTCCAGACTGAACATGTGTGTTTACATGGTGTGATGCAACACGAAGGAACAGGGTGTTTGAATCACACAGATGTGTGTGAGCTCATCTCTGCTGTCTGCTCATCACAGGCAGGTCATTTTACCTCTCTGAGCCTCAGTTGACTTATCCATCAAAGTGGTGCCAATGATGGCACCAAGCTCACAGGATTGTCGTGGGGACAAAACGTAGCAGCAGGTGTACAAAGCAGCTCCCGCTGAGCCTGCCCCATGCTGGCTAAACGAACAAACAAAAGTGCGCGTCATAGCTGCTATCCCGGAGGAGATACACTTTCTGTCACTTCGGGTTGAACGAGACTCTCAAGATGATTGGCCTCAAACCAGGGCCAGAAGGGAGAATGTCCCTTGCAGGCTCACATCTGTCAACAGGGGTCACTCTAATGAAGTCCCCTACAGAGAGGAGACCCGAGTCTTCCCATGGCCAGCCCGGTCTCCCCGACTGCCTTTCTGCACCCGGCCCTGGATGCAGGGACCCCCCTCAGCCCGGCTGGGAAGCCCCTCAGCAGCCTTTGAAAGGCCGTTGGCACCCAGGGACAAGGACCCCGCCGTGTGTCACACAAATCGCTAAGTCATCGCCGCATCCCTGAGAGCTTCGCTGTAGCTTATGACCAAAGCACAGAGTGAAATGTCTAAGGAGAAACAGAAACGTGAGAAAGCTAGGAAACTTGCTAATAGAACTCAGCATCTAGAATGTCCATCCTGAAGGGCTGTGACCACCGGATTTGTAGTTCAGTTCCCCCAAAGCTGAAGCATGTCAAGGCTCAGCGGGAATTAATCGCTGAAAGAACTCTTTTGTTTTTTTTTAACTTCAGAATGTCACAGGGGTACAAACGTTTTGGCTACATAAATTGCTTTTGTACCATTCGGGTCAAAGCCATAAGTGTGCCCATCACCCAGGCAGTGTGCACTGTACCCATTAGGTGTGAATGTACCCATCCCCTCTCCCTTTCCCACCTGCCTGACGTCCAATGCATGTTGATTTATCTCGGTCTGATTTTTTTTAAATTTACTTTTGCTTTCAAGTGAGACCCACCTGGATTTGGAAACGTACTTCATGGCCATACTTGGGAGGTGAGAAGGCGGGACATAGAAACCCAGTACATGAATACTGAGGTCCATTCACTCAGAGACTGGAAGACATTGAGCACATCTGGAGACTAAGGATGTCAGAGGGGCACGGTCGAGTGGCCAGGACATCCCCTTCTCAGGAGCCTCTAAACCAGACCCTCCTTGGGGTCTCTGAGGCTCAGCGTGTCCGGCCTTTGCCATCTCTTCTTCACCGGTCTGTTTGCTTTTCCCTCCACCCACTCTGCAGGCTCCCTCCTCAGTCTTCGTACTTATTATTATTCCATCTGCCTAGAGGGCTCGTTCCCCAGACACTCGTGTGGTTTGCCCTCTTGCCAACCGCTCCCTGCCCAGGTATCACCATCAGAGCGACTTTCCCTGGCTTCATTACTGACGACAGCCTGCACCGGTGCCTCCCCTCCCTCCTAGCCCCGCTGGTCTCGTCCCTTCTCACCCTTGTGTTATCCGCTCTGTGAATTTGCATATTACCTGTCTTTGCCGCCAGAATGTAACTAACTCCATGAGAGCAGAGACGGTGGCTTTTCTGCTCACTGCCTTATCCCTACCACCAGAGCGGGCTTTCTCAACACCGACGCCGCTGGCGGCTTGGGCTGGGTCCCTCTCTGCCGTGGGGCCCAGCCCATGCACTGCAGGGTGTTCAGCAGCATGCCTGGCCTCTAGCTGCTAGATGTCAGGAGCCCACTCCTGAGTGGCAGCAACCAAAAACACCTTCTGGGATTCACACGTGCCCTGGGAGGCCGAGTTGCGCCAACAGAAACCACCGAGCTGGAGCACATGGTGGGTTCG